AGAAGATCCCAAGTCCATGCCTTGGTGAACCCCAACATTATAAACCAGGAAAAAAACATAGGGGTAGAAACAAATACACCAGAGAGGTGTCATGGAAGCCACAAGACAAGAGTCTGTCAAGGAGACCCAAATCCTGCCTCATCCAACTCATCAGCACAGCGTAACAGTGATGGTTCTCCAGTGGCTCACCTCCTTTAGGCCTAGTTAATCCCCAAAGAGAAAGACAAGTTTTTTGAAAGCATGAACTTTTGGAACTTCTTCCTGATGTTTTAGCATCCCTTTCATATTTCTTATTTTTTACTTGTAAGCCTATTTCAACAAATAAAAGTAAATGTTCTTCTTTAAACAGAGAATGTTTTCATTCAACTCAGGAGACACTGCTATGTAAGAGACAGTAATTCTTCCTAAATATAATATATTCATTAAATATACAATTTCATTTGTCAATTATACCTCTCTCTCTCTACATATATATATATACATATATATATATGACAAATGAAAACATATATATACATAGAGAAAGAATAAAATATATAAGTATATTATATTCAGGTAATTCTGTTCTTGAAGTTCTAAGGAAAAAGGAAGAGCTTCTTCTATAGAGAGAGCTGCAATAGAAAAAAAAATAGCACTGTCAAAATTTACCTGGTCAGTGTGCAGAGTCTCTAGCAACATGAAAAGAATAGAGAATGTTATTTTCTCAAGTAGAGCTTCTCCCTAAGTCAGATTCCAAAAATAAGCCATCACTCTAAACTCATCCATTTAGTACTTTGGGAAGCACAAAGACTAAAATGCAGCATAAGTGTTCACCAAAGGAAAAAAAAAAACTTCATGCTGGTAGGGAGTTAGTATTTGGTTAGATCAAACAACTTTGTTAAATAGAAAGCATACACATTTAATCTGTGTATGAAATGTGTATATGCATGGCGGGGGCGGGGGGTTGGCTTGAACTAACATTTGAAAGGTTTTCTCAATACTAAGTTTCATTTTCAGGAACACGTTACTGAATAATTTCATTGTTAATACTAAATGGTGAGAAACAAGAAGGTGATTACAGATTCTGATTTTGGATATGAAGAACTGCTGAGTTTTGTTCTGTTCCATGGGTGGTTGGCCCCGGGCAGTTGTCTCATGGGGAGGGGCAGGGAGGAGAGGTTTCTGCTAGTGTGCAACTGAAAACTACGCAAATTCATCATTGCTGTGAACAAGGTGCACTCAAGCTAACACTGCCTGGAGGCAGAAATCCCATGTATCCCCGTATTGATACAGAGTAAAGTTGCTGCCTGGCTTTCTTTCAAGGTAGAAGTGTTACCTTCTGATTATGAAAGCAACAGGTTACTGTAAAATGATTCAGAGAGTATAGGAATGGGTGCCGTAAGAGTGCACATCTGCAGCATTCCCACCCCCCTCGGAGATGTGTCAAGGGTTTGCTATAACATTCTCTCAGGCACACTCATCTTACTATATTTCCCTCAATTTTAGGATTCGTATTTTAAATTTTCACATCTCTGGAATCTCACATATCTTAAAATTGATACATACAGTAACAATAGTGCTTGTCTTACTCATATATCATGCCACACAGCTGTTGGAAAGAATAAGGCAGCTCTGTAGGTAGTGACATGGCAGGAGTGCCAGACATGTTAACTGGAAAAAGAAAGGTGCAGAATAGTGTGTATGCTATACTATCATTTATATATTTATTTTTTTAAAGGATGTATACTTATATGCTGGTATATGCATTTTTCATTTCTAGAAGGAACCACAAAGAATAGGTAAAGATTGTCTGTAAGCGGGGGACGCCTGGGTAGCTCGGTCGGTTAAGCGTGTGCCTTCGGCTCAGGTCATGATCCCAGGGTCCTGGGATCGAGTCCCACATTGGGCTCCTTGCTAGGCAAAGGAGCCTGCTTGTCCCTCTGCCTGCCGCTCCCCCTGCTTGTGCTCTCTCGTGCTAACAAATAAATAAATCTTTAAAAAAAAAAAAAGATTGTAAGGGGGAGGGTAGAAGGGTAGGATGGGTCTTTTTTTCATTCTATACCCCTTGCATCTAAGTTTATATTTTACTTGTTTAAAATTAATTGAGTCATTAAAAAGCAGAACATTACTACATATTACTATGGATTCATGAGCATGAAGTCAATATATAAAGTCGCATATAGGGAGGATGCATACCAAATTCATTACAGTGTCTGCCCCTAAAAGGGGGGGTGGGGGCGGGGAAGGAATGGCCTGATAAAGGAAATATCATATGTAGCTATGAAGTTTTTTAATTCTCATAAAAAATTTTTTAAGCAAATATGACAATATGTTATCATTTGTTAATGATGGGTGGTATGTATGTGAGTGTGATGTTATTCACTGATACTTGTTTAAATTTTGTTCAAAATATAAAAATTGAAATAAAAACACAGCTCATGGATACTACTCCAGAGCCATCAGAACGTCTAAAATTAGGGGTGCCTGGATGGCTCAGTTGGTTAAGCATCTGCCTTTGGCTCAGGTCATGATCCCAGAGTCTCAGGAGTCCCAGGCTGCCTGCTCAGCTTCTCCCTCTGCACTTCCCACTGCTCATGCATGCTCTCTCAAATAAATAAATAAAATTAAAAAAAAAAAAAAAAAAGACCAAACAGAGAAGATAATGAGCAATGGCACTCTAATACAATGTTAGAAGGACTATAAAGTGGTACAACCACTTAAGAAAACGGTCTGGCAGTTTCTTACAAAACTAAAAAGAAACATGTACTTTGTGAGCCAGCAAACTACTCACAGATATTAATCCAAGAGAAATGAATATATGTCCACAGAAAGACTTGTACAAGACTATTTATGGAAGCTTTATTCACAAGAACCAAAAACTGGAAAGAGCCCAGATATCCATCAGTAAAAGACTAGATAAACAAACTAGTATGTCCATACAATCAAATACCATTCAGCAATAAAAAAGGAGCAAACTACTAATACATGCAATGGCATGTTGATGGCACTCTAAAACATTATGCTGATGACAGAAACCTTACACAGAAGAGTGCATACTCTGGAAGTCTATTTATATGAGGACCTACAATAAGCAAAACAAATCTATGGTGGGAAAAAAAAAAATCAGAACAATGGTTGCCAGGGAAAGAAGGTTGTTAGAAGGGGTGGGAGGTTGACAGAAAGAGGATGAAATACTTCTAAGGATGACAGTAATGTTTTTCATCTTGAGAGAGGTTAGGGTTGCTCAGGTGTATCCATTTGTCAAAATTCAGTGAGTGGTTACTTAAGATACATGCATTTTATTGTAAATCAATTTTGCCTCAAAAGGAAAAATAATTTGTAAGAAAATTTTGAACTCTCATTAATGATATGCATGCTGGAGTATTTAGTGGGCAGTGTACTAATTAATGTCCGCAATTTACTTTGAAATGCATAAAAAAAGGATGGATTGATGGACAGATAAATCAATAGGTGATAAAAACAAGGATAGTTAAATGTTAATGGTAGAATCTAGGTGTTCACCATAAAATTCTTTTAAATTTTCTGTATGCTTGAAAATTTTCATAATAAAGTGTTGAAAAATAGCAAAAACTTACTTCTAGCTATTATTTAAAACACACATACACATTATATTCAGCATGGGTCTCTCTGTCCTTACACATTGGTCTACCTTATCCTTATTAAGCATAGTGATTCTAAAGAGGATTTTATGGACATTAATATTAAATTTCTGGGACCATCATATAAGAGACCATACTTAAAATAAGTAAATACTGAATGTCCTTCTTGACTTACAACTATGAGACCATACTGCATGTAAGACTGGCTTCTAGAAACAGCCTCTTCTATGCCCCACTCTACCCCAGTTCACTCTGCCCGCAAAGAGAAGGCAGCATTCTGCCCCACTATAAGGAGAATGAGTGGACATCTCAAAGGGTATGAAAGCCACTGTCCACATGCACACTGTCTCTCTTCTGTTTCCTCCTTCACCGAGGTGATGTAAAGCAAAGCCTTCGTCCGCTTCCCCAGGCCACTCTACCGCCCATATCAGCTGGCATGGCCAGCCACGAAATGGGACAAATATGTTCTCTTGTGCAGACGCTCTGCCTTTTGCTCAGGTGCTGTTAGGTGTTCGTTAGATCAGCCAGCCTCAAAGAGTCATTACAGCCAAGCTGAGGTTTAAATTGGGAAGAGAATCTGGGTAGAGCAAAAGGAATCCAGGGTTCAGTATAGCTTACTAGACTACTGCAATGGGATTATGGTCAAAGCTCCAGCCAGAATTAAAGCTTTTCCTCACCTATTTGACTAGCTCTATAGTACCTTGTGTCTCTGTATGTGTGTATCCACCATTCAGGGCATGAAAAGAAGGAATGGCAGCCTTGTTGGGGGGGATGTCTCAATCCCAACATCCACTAATACCATCCCAATATCAGAAATTTTAAATAAATACCACTTCTTATCTTTTTTCCAAATGAATCATACTGACTTTAAGAGTTCATGAGCACCTTGGCCCCATGACTATTGAAGCAGCTATAGTAAGACCACGGACCTTAGGCTCTGTTAGCTTCCTTCACCTAGATGTTGGGGCCAATAAGTAGGCATAAAGGTCACATGAGAAGTCTTAGTATTTGCCACTACATGACATTCTATATATCCTGAATATGCACATTGTTACAGCAGACCCAAAAGTGACCCTGTCCTTCAGTGTTTGCTATACAGGTTGTCAAAAAACATAGCTTGTCAGATTTTGGTCTTCCTAGTGAATTGAATGATTGTATGTTTCTGCATTATATAAATATTCTCCAGCTTTCTGTTTATAATACAGAATAATGTATAAGAAAATAATGATGAAAGAATAATTTTGGGATTACTAAATTATTGAGTTGCTACTTTTTTTTAAGATTTTAAGTAATCTCTACACCCAATGTGGGGCTCGAACTCACAACCCCGAGATCAAGTCACATGTTCCACCAACTGAACCAGCCAGGCACCCCTTGAATTGCTATTTTTATCATTCTTACCTCATTTGAAGGAATTGTGGCAAAGGGTTTGATGACAGCAGCTAATGGAATCTGAGCTTGCTTGGCCATATCTGACGTGCATGGGAAACAATATGTTGTGCAACGAATGTATCGAGGACTAGCATTGCCTGAAATGTTCAAAGGAACACACTTAAAATTTGCTGAGAAAAAAAAATCTGCCCTATAATATTTAAATATTTATAATTCTAGGTAACACATTGCCTTATTTGTATAACTTCATGATTTCTAAAAGAGTAGTATTATGCAATGCTACAATCTATGTTTATATTTGTATTTACTGAACGTTTACTAAGACACTGTCCTAATTGCTTTCTTGTAGAGTTTATGTTCTGACAGAAGATACAGACTATAACTATTAAACCCAATAAATGAGTAAATTACATGGGTCATTAGAAGATGTAAATGCTATGAAAAAGCCTATCTGGTAAAGGGGTAGTGGGAGGCAGACTGCAACTTTAAACCGTTACAGAGTAGGCCTTATTTAAAAGGTAACATTTGAGCAGACTCCCAGGAAGCAAGGCATTGACTCAGGCAGGTGCCTAGGGGCAGGGCATGTCTGGCCTGGTGGAGGAGTCACAGGAGGCCTGTGTGGCTGGAATGGAGCACATACTGGGCACAGCAGCTGGTGAGGACTTCAGAGAAGTAACAAAGGTTATGCAGGAGCCAGAGGAGAAATGGTGGTGGCAGGAACCAGCCTGAGTAGAGTTATTGACAAGTGGCCATATTCTGGACGTATTTTGGAAGTACATGGATTGTTGATGGGAGTGATACACGAGGTGTGAAGATGGGAGGTGGGAAAGGAAGAGAAGATTGAGAATGGCTCCAAAGTTTTTGGCCTGAGGGACCAGAAGCACGAGGTTGCCACCAATTGACAAGAGAAAAGCTGCAGGAAGGGAAGGGTGTGTTAATGGGAATGTGGGCAGAGATCAGGAATCTGGCTTTGGACATGTCCACTTTGGGAACTCTATTAAGCAATCCAACAGTGAAACTGAGTAAACAACTAGATATGTGAGTCTGGGCACTGGGTTGAAGTTACACATTTGGGAGTTTTCTATAAAGAACTAAAGCCATGAACTACCTTGAAACCACCAATGAAATAATTGTAGCCAGAGAGGATGACCAAGAACTAAGCCCTGGCCCTCTAACATAAAGAAGTCAGGGGAAAAGGAGAAACCAGTTAAAGGACTAAGAAGGATAAAAACAAGGAGCATCTGGTGTCCTGGAGGTGAGGAAAGTACATCAAGGAAAAGCATGATCATCTGTGCCAGGTGGTACTGCTGGATCAGCAAGACCAATGGATTTATGTGCCATCTGCAATGACATGGATGGAGCGAGAGAGCATTATGCTAAGCAAAATAAGTTAATCAGTCAAAGACAAACACCGTATGATTTCAGTCAAATGTGGGATTTAAGAAACAAAACAAATGAGCAAAGGGAAAAAAAGAGAGAGAGGCAAACCAAGAAACAGACTTTTAACTACAGAGAACAAACTGATGGTTACCAGAGGGGAGGTAGCGGGGAGGATGGGTGAAATAGGTGTTGGGGATTAAGGAGCACACTTGTTGTGATGAGCACTGGGTATTGTATGGAAGTGTTGAATCACTACATTGTATACCTGAAACTAATATAACAGTGTATTGTTAACTAATTGGACTTTAGATAAAAGCTTTTAAAAAAAAAAAAAAAACACGCTGGATTTAACAACATGGAGGTTGCTAGAGACCCGAAGACAGAGTTTTGGCAGAATAGGGCCTGGGGTGGGAAGCCTGCCTACAGTGAGTAAGGACAGGAATTGGCAATAATCCTTTCAAGTTTTGTTGCATAGGGGAGCAAAGAAAAGAAGGGTAGCTGGTGAGGAAAATAGGTCAAAAAAACATTTTTACTGTTTAAGACAGGAGAGTGTAAAAAGAGATACTGATGACACACGAGAAAGAGGGGAGACTTACTGTAGCAACATACTACACTAGTGCACAGGAGGGGCTAGCTTCCGACTGGAGCACAGAGCATTCATTTATGGCCAAAAGCAGAAAGGCAGAGCACAGGTGCACATTAGGGCAGGGCTGATATGATGGCAACAATCCGAGGAAGCTCTCTTCTGACTGCTCAATCTTCTCAGAAAGGAGGACATATGAGCAGCTAAAAGAAAGGTTAGGAGGGCGCCTGGGTGGCTCAGTTGGTTAAGTGTCTG